AAGAAAAGAGATTCCACCTCAACATTAGGAAGAACTTCCTGACAGTTAATGCTGTTTGACAGTGGAACTCACTCCCTTGGAGAGTGGAGTTTCTTTCTTTGGAGGTCTTTAAGCAGAGGCTGGATGGCCATCTGTCGGGGATGCAGTCTCTTCCAACTCTATGATTCTGTGATTCTATGGTTGATCCCTGGGATCTGATATTCAAACCCAACCCATCTGAAGGCCTTCATGCTGCGGCACCTCAGCTAGAGAAGACCCTAAGAGTCTCATTGCCATCAGTGGAGGTGTTATTCTACTGCCACATTAAAATTTGGCTTTTCACTAGCACTTTTGGGGCCAGTTGGTTTAAACCCAACCTATCCATGTTTGCATCTGCATTGCAGAATTAATGCAGTTTGCCACCACTTTAACTGCCGTGGTTCCATGCAAACCCCCTCTGAACAAATCTTGCCAAGAAAACTCCCTGATAGGGTTGCCTTAGGGTCGCCATGAGTTCAAAACAATGTGAAGGCCCAAAAGAATCACAACAGTCCTCCACCACGGAGCTCCAGACCAGCACTCTTCCCTTTAAATCTTTTATGCAGGGCAAAGAAGCCAGAGTGGAGTAGTGATTGGAGTGTTGGACTATGACTCTGAAGACCAGGGTTCGAATCCCAGCTCCATCATGAAACCCACTGGGTGACCTTGGGCTGTTCACAATCTCTCAGCCTCAGAGGATGGCAATGGCAACCCCCCTCTGAAAAAGCTTGCCAAGAAAACCCCATGATAGGTTCACCCTAGGGTTGCCATAAGTCAGAAATGACTTGAAGCACACTGCAACAATCAGGGCAAAGAACATCCTAGGTCCTAGGACATACTAGTTTTGCCCAAGTTTTAGAGGAATTCCTCTAGAGGAATTCCTCAAAAGTCTTGTTGTTGCTGTATTTAATTTTCTTCTACCCCAGATGTCCCTGGATGCAGAGGAGTATCTACACTGTAGAAATAATGCAGCTTGCACCCTGCTTTAAGTGCTGTAGCTCCATCCTGTGGAATCCCGGGATTTGTAGTTTTACAAGGCCCTCTCTGCCAAAGAGTGCTGATGCCTTGCAAAACTACAAATCCCAGGTTTCTGTAGCTATAAGTGGTCCCAAATTGCATTATTTCTAAAATGTAGATGCCCCAAGAGGTCTGGACTGCCCCCAGTTTGGAGTAAAACCCAGAACAGATCCAGTTCTGCCTTGACATAGAAACCAGCAGCCCTGCCTGCTTTTTCCCAGGCTGCCACATGGCGTCCATCTCTGTACATCGGATTTGAAAGGCTTTGGATTTGATCCGACTTCAAAGCTCTTCTCGCTGAGCAAATGAAGGACAGGCTGATTGCATTTTCAAGCCAGCTGCCAACCAAAGTTCTCTGGCTGTTGCATAATCTATTGAAAACACAAACACAGCAGTAGCGCAAATAAAACCATGACTAAAGAAGCAGAAGTTACAACCAAGACCAAGGCAGCAGCACAAAATGGAACCAAATTGAGCTTTAGGGTAAACGTGGGAATGAGGAGAGGCACTGGCACAGGTCTTGAAATGCCTGGGAATATGCAAAAGTCTTCCACTTGGTGCTGAGAAACTCAGGCACCAGGTGAGTCTCCCTCCTTGGGGTGGGCTGTCTCCTAAAAATCCCTGTCTTGCTTTTATGTGCAAGTGCCTGTGGGGAGATGTGGTGGTTGGTTTTCAGCATCAATTGCAAAAACCACAGCCAGCCCTCAAGAAGGCATGGCTTCATAAAACTCCTGTTGCACAGTGGCTGACGTCTCAATCAAGAGTTCATAGAATTGTAGAGTTGGAAGAGACCTAAAGGGCCATCCAGTCCAACCCCATTCTGCCATGCAGGAACTCAC